GACAAATAATATCTATGTCAGGACAGCTGTGAGGGTTACACGAGTAAGTGCACAACGCCTGGTACATGCCAGATGCTCACTGAGTGGCAGCTATTATTTGTATGATTACCTCTTCGGGAGATCTAAATAGCATGTGACATTGGGTTAGGCATTGAGCAAGAAAATGATGCCATCTTGACACTCACATCTAAGATAAAAATTAGCTTGCCCTAATTATAGTTCTCCATAATTATTACTTAAAACAAATAAGTAGCTGTCAGTCAACAGATATACACCCTAGGGAGGGAGATATTACCAATTTGTAGATGAAGAAACTGAGATGCAGATGCTAAGTCACTGGCCTGGTAACACAGTAGCTCCGAAGTGGCAGAGGCAGAATTAGAACCCATGTGCTTGCAGGACACCAGTGCCTCCTTGCTCCTTCCCATTTGCCTTCACAGCCTGCTTCCTTGGCTTTGGACTGGATCTGGGGATCTGGGAGCATCTCACTGCAGCAAGACTTGTCCTCAAAGCCTTCATAGGCACCAAGGTATAAATGACCAGTGACAGCAAAAACAGCCCCCTAAACCTTAAGACTCCTAACCTAGACTCCACTTAGAGCAAAGATAGAGATGCATGTGCTATTTTCAATATTTCAAAAAGCCATACATTTGGGGAATTTCCTGGCAGTCCAGTGGTTAGGACTTGGTGCTCTCACTGCCAGGGCCCTGGGTTCCATCCCTGGTCGGGGAACTAAAATCCCATAAGTCACGTGGTGTGGCAAAAAAAAAAAGCCATACATTTACCCCTGATGAAGCTGAAAAGGTGAATTAAGATGCTATGTTTCACTGATTTAAGCTGGAATGACCTCTACTCTCTAGGTAATACTGGTGACTTCAACCTGATTAGAAATTCTGATGGACAGACAGTTCCTATGTCTTTGATGAGTAAAAATGAGAAATCTAAGCAATATGGCTTGTTTCACAGTAAAAAGTCCATCAAAACCTAAACTCCATGGAAGAGAATAATAAAAACAAGTGCCCTTACTTGGACATATATACACTATCAAATATAAAACAGATAGCTAGTGGGAAGCAGCCGCATAGCACAGGGAGATCAGCTCGGTGCTCTGTGACCACCTGGAGGGGTGGGATAGGGAGGGTGGGAGGGAGGGAGACGCAAGAGGGAAGAGATATGGGAACATATGTATACGTATAGCTGATTCACTTTGTTATAAAGCAGGAACTAACACACCATTGTAAAGCAATTATACTCCAATAAAGATGTTAAAAAAAATGCCCTTTCTGATGTCTGGGAGTCACTGAGCTAAAAAGAAACAGCAGACGTCATGAAATATCAGGCACAAGACAGCATGTGCCTGAGGATCTGGGGAGCAGGGCCATTGTGTATGAGATATCAGGGCGCCCGCCCTACCCACACCTTCTTTTCAGGGAACATTGTCCTGCCCAGAGCCCTGTGGAGTGGACGCTGCCATATCTGCCACCATGTGTCCTAGCCTCTATAAGAGTGGATTGGACATTGTGGACTCACTCATCTTTAAGCTGTTGGGCAATCTAGAACACGTATAGCTGGGTCACAATGATGAGCTGGGTCTATCGTGTTTCTCTCTTGGAAACCAGGAGTTGGAAAACTGAGAGATGGAGGCAGTTTCCAGCAGAGGTGCAAGACAGGAGGCCAGGACCCCGGCCCACCCCACACAGGTGCAAAAAATGTCACTGAAATATCACGGCTGCTGGCTACATAGATCTTTTGTGGAAATAGTTAAAGGGCTAAGATCCATTTATTATAGAAAGACTAGACTAAACATTCCCAAATGGGGAATCCAACGAAGGGTACCCTAATTTGTGCCACAGTGATAAGAGGGTGCAATGCCCCACTGAGCCTAAGGGATGCTGGCATGGTAGTTAGCAAGAGATTCTCTAAGGGACGTAGAACTCTGGGACAGAGGAGACGGGCTGGAGACCCAGTCTTTCCTCCCCGTGAGGGGAGGTTTTACTTTATTAAATAAAATTTGTAAGACCTCCAAGTGCCTGAGGCACACTAGGCTGGTTCTGGCAGCTTATCAGCCGTCCGTCAAACTCCACTTACTCCTTCCGCAGTGGTGCAATCGGAGCCAGGCGCCTGCCTGATTATCAGCGCTACCACTCCCAGCCTCTCTTGCAGCTCCCTGTGGCTGAGTTTTTACCGATAAAATATGAGCAGAAAAGATGAGTGGTACATTTGGGCTGGTATATTAAGAGAGTGACGTGCCTCCCCATTTGCCCTGTCGTGCCAGCTGCTATCTAGGCCATGCAGGCAGGGACAGTACACTTAGGACAGTGCTAATTAAGTGTGGTCCATGCATCAGCTGCTCATCCTTGAACCGTTTGTAACCCATCCACAACAAGATAAAGAGCTTATGCCAGAGTGCAAATCAACAGCACTAAACAGTACTAAATGCAAATCATTAAACACAGTGTTCAGCTGACAAAGCAAGATATTCTCGATGAAGGAAGCAATGCATTGATTTACATCCTGCCACAAGCTCCTTATCTCCTTACAGAACATCCCTTTGAGGAGCAGAGCACTAGGGAGGGGTAGAGGCACAAGATGGAATGAACCTGGGTTCCTGAATATCTACGTGGAACAGAGCGCTGAACTACAACAAAGAAGGGGAACAAGTCATCCCTATCTGGCAGGGCTGTGGTTAAGATTTTAAAAGCGATATGAAAAGATACCCAGCCAGGATCTACTGGGGCTCATTCAGTACTGGCTGAATGAAACCTGCAATGGTTTCTTTCTCTGACTTGTAACAATCCACTGTCTTTTCTGGTTAGAGGACTGGACTCAGGCTGCTATACCTGGAGGACAATGCAGCCATTCACATCTCTTGAGTCCCTGTTCTGTACCTTGGACTGGGTCAGACACTGTGGATTCAGCCCTGAGCAAAGACTGACATACTCTCTGCCCTTGTGGGATACCAAAGCAAATGACAAGTCTAAGCCTGAGACCGGGTGCAGAAAGCCTGTAGACTAGGGTGCTTAGAGCAAGAGCTGAAGTGAATGGAGGAACCTGCGTAGCTCCTGGTCTGCAATAGACCCAAGAGTGTGTTGCCTGAATTTTCAGAAGAGTTGCACTTTCTGTAGAGCTGTTCCCACACTTCATTGTATTTACAGTAGTTTTCCCTTGGTCTCATAGTGGGAAAAACTTCATTAAAAGATTCTAAAATAATCTTAATTAAACCAACGGGAAAGGACATTTTTCTATAACTTAGTCTGGAGAGATAAATGTTTTCCAAAGGCCCAAGGTTGCAAAAGCCATTTAGACCCAAGCATTTCTTAGGTTAGTTGTGCATTCATCAAATCGTTGTTGAGCACCACTGTGACCCAGGCTCTTTGCAGACACACAGGGGGACAAGACCAAGTCCCTGTGCTCCTGCAAGTTCACGGCCAAGTGGGAAGTGGTAAGCCTACGTATGATCACCTGACTGCGGAACATGTGCTTACTAATGAGCAGAGCCTGGGAACCCAGAAGGATGGAGTCCAAGCCAATTGTAGGCTTTTTTTCCCCCTTGATTTTCACTTGGGGTATTCCCTCAGGATAGTATTACTCTACTGCTTGGCTAATAATAGTGATCTTGAAATTAGCATTTAACCTTCTAGCCAGACACGTGCATGGAAATACTCTCCCAAGCCCCAGAATGCTCAGTCATGCAATATGCACATATCCTCTAAGAACGGCACAGATGTGTTGAATCACCAGATATCCCAAAAGAGGTATGATTTCAACCTAATTGGTATCAACGCCCAGTATTGACATGGAACACCAGCGGGAACCAACCAGCGAAGACAATTCACCAGCACTCGGTGAGGAACTGGCATGCAGGAACACACCAACACACCCCGGGCTCTGACAGACGAATCGTAGGCAACAGCATCCTACCCGCTTCTATTCACTGTTGCATTGCTATGGTGCCCACCCCCTTTGTATCCATGGCATTGAGAGCCTCGGGAGTTGGGCCGGTGACCATTCCTCATATCTGAGAACAGAAGGAGAAGGGGAAGGTTGGGCAGCTCTAGAGAAGTGTGTAAATGGCAGCTTAGGGACAGCTCGAGCTTTCTGGTAGAGGTGGCCTAGGGAAATCGCCGCAGAAGCTTCATCTGTTACGTGGATGCCGTATGCTGGTGCAAGGAACCAGGAGTATAGTAAAACTATTGTTAGTATTGTAACTCCGATCACGTTACGTGTCTTTCCTGCTCCAGCCTCCATCGCACCCTACAAGGGGGCAGGGACGCCTCCGAAACCCCAGGTGGGGTGAGGGTCTTGCGGCGGTGAAGCGGCGGCGCTCTGTGGGAGGGAGCAAAGGTCGCGAGGTTCACGGGCAGGGACCGCGAGGAGGGAGGTGGTCCACAAAGGGGGAAAGTCTGAGAATCAGAGGTGCTTTGCATTCCGGGCTCCGGTCCCCTCCAGCAAAGCCCAGCATAAAAACATCCATCCTTGGCGCACATCCCTCTCTATCTCCCCCACCCCAACTGCGCCCCTCGCCCCTGGGGTCAGGCCGCGGGGTCACTGCTCCTCCTCGAAGGATCCGAAGGCAGCTAACGCGGGAGGCGCCCCGGTGAGGCTGGGGAGGGAGGACTTCCCTAAATTGTGCTGGAGCGAAGGCGTCGAGGATAGGAAGAACTAACCCAGGCTGGGGTAGGCGGACGGGGCTACGAGGGAGAGAGAGAGAGAGGACAATGTTCGCTCAGCCTGTTCATCGCTCGGCAGGAAGATGGATGATTTTCGGAGACCGTTGTCCCAGCGCTGCGGCTCGCTCCAGGGAGACGTCAGAGCGCTGGGGTCGGCGGTGGAGGACCCCCGTGCGCCCCCGCCCGGGCTTGCATATAAAGTCGGGGCGTCGTGGAGGCTGCAGCGGCGGCGCTCCTCCGAGGTCCCGGTCCTCCCGTCTCTCCTCTGCGGTGGAAGCGCACTATCCGCCCAGCCTCGCCGCGGCGCTCCGAGGGCTTCCCGCCGGGACCATGCGCGGCCGCGACTTCCCGCTCGTCCTGCTGGCTCTGGTCCTCTGCCAGGCGCCCCGGGGGCCGGCCGCCCCGGTGTCGGCGGGCGGAGGGACCCTGCTGGCCAAGATGTACCCGCGCGGCAACCACTGGGCGGTGGGTGAGTGTCCGGCGCGCTCTAGTCCTGGCGGGACCAGCCAGCCGAGGGGGCCCGTCTCCCCATCTCTCCGCTTTTCTGAGGCTCTGCGTTGGCGGCTGGGTTTGCTCCGACCTTTCCACTCAGACGCCAACCCCGTTCTCCCAAAACTCCACCCTGCCCTTCAGTATCCCGAGAAGCCGTCGGTCCCTCGGGAGCCTCAGGCTGGTCCCTCGGTCCTTTCCCGCTCTCTTCCCTCCCCCCCAGGACACCCGAGCCAGCACGCAGCTCTCCAAGATCCCAGCCGTACGCGGAGGTCACCCTCCCTCCGCATCTCCCAGCACCTCCTTTTACCCGTCTAATCACAACCCTGTTTGGCACGGTTCTCTCCCTGAACAATTTTGGGGAGCTGGGTCCCCGAGCGCGTCTCGGAGCCCTGGTCCAGCCTGGCTGCTGCGCCTTTACCCCCGGCAAAGCCACAGGTGTGGGACACGGGGCGCTGCGCCCACCCTGGGTTTCAAATCTGTTCGTCAAGCAGCGCCTGAATCCCACCTCCATTTGGGGCTCGCCTGAATTTCCTCAGTCCTCCTTTGCCTTGCAGCGATTTTCTTTTCCCTGCCCTTTTGCCCAACCCTCCCTCCTTCCATCCGGCAGGCTCGGTGCTCCGGGAATCACACCTGGTCTCCACGCTGATCCCGGGTCTCTGTCCCCGAAGTCCTCGCTTTTCTCCGCCTCTCTTGACCCGAGACCTCACGCTCTCCCCTAGCTCCTTCCCTCTTTCCCCTGCCTACAAGTCCTGCTTTCCAGGCACAGGCTTGGAGGTTCTCTCGTCCCGGCCCCCGGAACCGCAGCGGCTTGGACCGGGTCTCGGGCCGCGGAGCGCGCACCCGCTGCTTCCCCGCAGCTGGGAGGCAGGTAGCGGCCCCGCTGCTTCTCGCTGCTCCAGCATCACCCCGGGGCTCTCGGCCGCGCCGAGCAGAGCCTCTGGCAAATGATGCCAAGCGTTCGACTTCCTCAGACAGCTCCCCACACAGCCATCTACAACAGCCCTAGCATTTCCCGGGAAGCTGGTCGGTCCCTAGAGAGATTTAAGGCGGGGTGTGTGTGTGTGTGTGTGTGTGTGTGTGTGTGTCACGATTTCCTTAGTCATCTACTTAGAAGTAGGGAAGGGTGTGTTGGAAAGATACTTGCTAATTCAACTCTCAGAGGATTTACAGACTCTCGGGGTGAAGACTAGGATGAATTTAGAAGATGGGGTGAAGCTAGAACTGCGCGTCCTCAGCTCCTGTGCGCTGTGTAGGTTTCCCTCAGAGAAATGGAGCGCTCTGGGTTGCAACAGAGTAGTTTTCATTATTACTGAAAGAATCATTTGCCAAGTCTTGGCAACCCCAGGGATGAAAGTATTTGTCATCTTTGAGGGACACCCGGAACCCAGGAGCCTGGTATAGAAAGGAAGGGTTGGGATGGGTGAAAACCCTTGCACTTCCAGAGAGAAGGATACTTAGAAGATGTTAAAGAAGCCAAACCTAGAATCGATGCTTAAAAGGGCTCCTGGGAGTTTGGATCAACTGGTCATTGTCCAGTGCGGCCAGCAGCCAGTGGGCTGGGAAGGTGGAATGAAACTTCCAGATTTCCAGCCTCTTTTTTTTGTGGTACGCGGGCCTCTCACTGCTGTGGCCTCTCCCGCTGCGGAGCACAGGCTCCGGACGCGCAGGCTCAGCGGCCATGGCTCACGGGCCCAGCCGCTCCGCGGCATGTGGGATCTTCCCGGACCGGGGCACGAACCCGCGTCCCCTGCATCGGCAGGCGTCTCTCAACCACTGCGCCACCAGGGAAGCCCTAAAAGACTTATTGTTAATGTAACCCCTGCAGGCTAAACGCAGGACAAAAGAGTTAGCTGGGAAGCTATAATCATGGTATTTCTGATGCAAGCCAACCCTGGTTGCTGTGATTCCAGAGCACATCAGTCCCCAGGTCTTTCGGGTGTCGGCCATTTAATCACCTTTCATGGTGGTACTTGGGCATTCCCAGCCCCAAAGTGTACTGACCAGTGACACCCCCAAATTGTCTTATTCTCTTATTTGTTCTCGAACACACTCTTTTTCCTTTTTCTCCCTTGACTAACTGTGCAGAGTTGATGAAGAACAAGGGAAAGA